TATAATCAAAAGGAAACAAACAGAACAAAAATTTGGAAAAATCTCAGCCTGCAGAGAATGAGAAAATGTGTTCATGAGAGAGTCACGCCAAAGGTGTAGCTAAGAGACCACTGGATAAGGAGATTAGCATGAACGGGCAAAGCCTGGTGCATTTCATCGACAACAGAAGAATGACCCTGAAGGCAACTGAAGATCTTGAGAGGTGGTAGTGCCTAGTGGGGCTGTTGGAGGCGGAGGGGCAGGACCACGGCAGAAAGCACCCATTATTCAATGCCTAGTGTAGCCTTAGGAGCAGGGCCACTCTGGAGACCCTAGACTGGTGGAGTTACCAGTAGGAAACTACCGCAATAAAGCCACAGGCATGAGGCTCTAACCTGTGAGCGCTGCCACGTGATTAACACCCAGCAAAGCCATGGAGGTAGAGCCCCGTGGATCCTTGGAGGCCCAACTCCCACCCCAGTGTGTCCAGAATGTAGGACTTTGAGTTGAATATCATTGTGGAGGCTTAAGACTAAATGCTTGCCCTGTTCATTTTGGATTTGGTCAGGATCTATTACCCCTTTCTTCTTTCCTGTCTCTCCCTTTTGGAATGGAAATGTCTATCCTATGCCTGTCCCATTGTATTTTGGAAGCACATTAGATTTCACAGCTGGAGAGGAATTTGCATCAGAATAAATTGTACCTTGAGTCTCAACCATATCTGATTTAGACTAGACTGTGGACTTCAGACGCTGGAGTTAGTGCTGGAAAAAGTTAAGACTTTTGGGGCCACTGGAATGAAATGAGGACACCAATTTTGGGGGGCCAATGGTAGAATGCTGTGGTCTGAATGTTTATGTCCCCCCAAATTCACAGGATGAAACCTAATATCCAATGTGGGATCTGAGGCGTTCAGGGCTGCAGCAAGCTATGACTGTACCACTGCATGCTAGACTGGGTGACAGAGCAAGACCTGGTCTCCAAAAAAATAAAAAGTGATTAGGTCATAAGGGCTGCCCCCTAGGAATGGGATTAGTGTCCTTATGAAAGAGGGTCATGGAGGCGTCCTTGTCCTTTTGCCCTCTTCTGCCATGTGAGGACACACAGAAGGTGCCGTCTTTGAAGCAGAGATCAAGCCCTCACGAGACACTGAATCTTCCGGCACCTTGGACTCCCAGCCTCCAGAACTGTGAGCAGTAGCTTTCTATTGTAAACAAATTACCCAGAATAAGGTATTTTGTTATAGCAGCCCTAAGGGACTAAGACAAGGGCTTGTAAAGCCTAGTGGGAGGACAGAAACTGTCGCGATGACTCTAATACAGTGCGATGACATAGGTACGGGGTGATGTGGGTTAGAGTTTTGGGGCTAAGTCTTGAAGAATGAGTATGAGTTGGCTAAAATCTTGAGTTTCCAAATCAGTGCTGTGAATGGGTGACGGGTGTACAAAAACACTGATTTTCCTCAGCTTCCGGTGCAGCTGGGGCCTGGGTTAGGGTTAGGGTTAATGAGCTCTGGGTCTCCCCCACTCACTCCAGTGAGTTCTGCATATATTGTAATTTTCTTTATGTGCCATGTCCTGAAAAAGCTGGGAATCACTGGGTTAGAGGAAGCAGAGTTAGGTGGACCAGCTAAAAGGATACATGTAAAGAAGTGAAAAAGATCAGCCAATCTGAAGAGCTACAAGCAGCTCCCAGTGGCCCTAGTGAAGACTGCATGTGGGTGTGGAACAGTGCCTAGTGTCAGAGAGGCCAAGTAGAAAGGCAGGACTTTCCTGTCGGCTTGGTGGCAATGACACCCCATGGTGTCAGTGGACACTATGGGAGAAACTTGGACGTCTGCCTGGCAGTAAGGAGACACCCTACTCCCCACCAAGCTAGGGTGGTGTCAGAGAGGTGTAGTGGAGTCTGTTTTACCATCCACTGCTCAGTGGTAATGAGGCTGCCACATCCCACACATCATGCCAGTGGAGCCAGGATGCTATCAGTGTCAGCTATGTAAGACCTGGAACCTGCCCAGCAAGAAGCAAGAAGGTCCTCCTTTCCCCTCCCCTTGTCAACAGAGGCCAAATGGGGAACCTGGACTGTTTCTCCTTCCACCTGGCAGGAATAAGGCAGGACCCCGCTTCCCTCACCAAAGCCCCGTCTAAGGAGGCCATCTAAATATGATCCAGAATCTCCTAATGTAATACCTAAAATGTCCATGTTCTGGTTAAAAATCACTCATTTTCCTGGAAAATCTTGAATAAAACAACAGATAGCCATGCCAAGATGGCACGGAAGTTACAATTTACCTGATAGTTATCATAGTGGAAATTTAAGGCTAAAGAGGTAGGTGGGAGGAAGATCATGAAGGAATGTGCCTGCTAAGCCAAGGAATCTGCAAGGTAGTCTGGAAGCTGAAGGATTTTGGTCATGGTGGAACACGCACCACTTAATGTCTATGTCATGGAGCTTTGGCAGCAGAACTGTGGAACCTGCTGGCTTGTGAGTGTACGTGCTACTGTCGTCTGTCTACCGTCCTGCCTCTGCACCCACCTAGGCCATGCGTGCACAGACAGACCTGCTCACGGACACCTCCCCAGCAGCCCTCACTTCTCCCTCCTACATGCTCAGGCTTGTTATTTCAACTCTACACCCCTCTCCAACAATTCCTTAAAGCAAGATCCTTGAAAGACTTTACTAGATGAATTCCTCCCCTCCCATTTTTCTTGAACCTGTTCCAAGCCTTCACTCTATGAGGTAAATCAAGGCTACCGATGACTTTTTTGTTACTACTATGTGTGTCCAATCTTCAGTCTTCATTTCACTTGGCCTATCTGTCTGCAGCAAAGGACCACATCCCTTTCCCCTGAAATCCTTCTTCAGATGTCTCCAGGGCGCTGCTCTTGGTTCTCTTCTTCCTTCACAGCAGCTCCTTCTTGGTCTCCTTTTCTGGTTCCCCTTCATCTCACTGACTTACAAGTGATGTAACATTTCGTGGGTCTGTTTTCTGATCTCCATTCACACTATAGCTTTAAATGATATCTATATTTTGATGGCTCTTAAATTTCTATCTCCAGCTGAGCTCTCCCCCACCTCCAGATTTGTATCTCAAAACTTAACAAAATCACCTTGTCCTCCTAAAATCTTCCCATCTCAGAAAGAGGCAATTCTAGTTTTCCAATGGCCTTGGACCAAAATCTTTGTATCATCCAACTTATTTTCCATCTCACAACTTAGTGCATCTCTGTGCACTAAGTCTTACTGGCTCTGCTTTTTCAAAATACACCTGAAGTCTAGCTAGTTCTCAGTGGCTACACCCTGCCACCCAGGACTATGTCCACATTCCTTCTTATGTTCATAGCAGTGGCCTCCAATGGGTCTCCGCACCTTGCCACATAGCTTATTCTCAGACACTGGATCACACTAGGCCTGTGCTCAGCTCCTCCTCCCATCTGCCCAACAGCTGCCATTAAAGCTCAAAATTGGCCCTTTATTCTCTGGCCCCCAATCAGCCTACTGATTTCATTTAATTCTTTATCCCTTGCTCACTCCATTACTTGTGCTCTGGCATCCTTGCTGCTCCTAAAGTGCTCAAACACGCTCACTCCTCAGGACCTCTGCACGTGCTAGTATCTGAATGTAACTTAGTTCCTTCTTATGGTCCCTGCTAACATGTTACTTCACCTACTCTAATTAAAGTCTAGCCCCTCTTCCTGTTACCACAATTTTCTCCAAGACTCCATCAGAACCTGACATTCTCGTGGCGTGTGGCCTGTCCCTCCCACGGGGAGGTAAGCTTCTCCAGGGTAACACCCCATGCTTTTTTTCTCCCCTCTCGTACGTAAGACAGTAGCCAGCAGTTAAGTTCTTAATAATGTGCTTAATGAATTAAATAATGTAGGCAGTAAAAGAAGCAGCCAAAATTAAGATTGTAGGAGTGGGATCAAGGAGAATGGAACGGATAGAAGTCAGGAGGTTTGAATCCATGGGATTTTACTTGTAGATTTGTGATTTGTATCAATGACTCGGCAGGTAGAAAGGATGCAAGCAAAAAGGACGTTCAAATCCTTTTTCATTGACCACAGTCTGGCTTATGTTCTAAAGTTCCTATTTGTTTAAAACTAATTCCGAACAAAAGGGTGTGTGAAGCTGCTTCCCGGCTGTCCCTAGCCTTCCCGAGCTGGCCCCATGACAGGCACATACCCTCCACTGTTGCACAACAGCTCTTGCTGCAGAGAGCCACTGCTCTAACACACAGGCTTGTATTCCATGCATTTCTGAGATGGAGAAATGTGTACCGGACACATCTAAAAGGTACAAAAGAATTATGTTTTAGAATGCATACGAGGATAAGAAAAAGCTCAACTATTTGAAGTCACTCTGTCGTTAACACAATGCTCCAAACATAGCATGCTGTAAAAAGTGAATGCCTCAAAAAAATGTGTCTTTGAGGCAAGAAAGCGACAATTTAACAATGTGCAAGACGGTTCCTGAAATTCCAAGACCAGGAAACATGTTGCGCGAGCTTCTAACAGAAGAAATAAAACACATCCTCCTGGGGCGTACTGAATTAAAATCACAATGCACTAGTAAATGATGAAAAGAGAATGAACAGAAAAATACTGTCCACAGGGATTATGACCTTCATATTCCATAAATTACACGAAGGCTTGAAAATCAGGTTTCCATTCTGACAGTGCCGCTCTGCTTCCCGGAGAAGCCTTTCTAATTAACCTTTTATGTGACAGAATGCTTTTTGCATAACGCTTTCATATTTATTGGTCCATAACTGAGATGGATAAATCATTTTCAAATGTGGAATATGTGTAGAATTTTGACTTCTTGCAGTGAGTTGCAGCTGTACATGGTTCTCAAGTGTACAAAATTTAGAGCTGTGCTGAAATAACAAGTTTGTTTTTCTATGTTTAAAGCAGAAGAGATTTCAATAGGCAGCCTTTATTAACTACTACACAAGTCGTTCTCTTCGTTATTGGGAGACAACAAAATAAGATAGATTTTCTTTCCTTCTTTTTTTTTTTAAAGAGTAGGTTCTTCAAATTAAAAGCATAATCATATAATAAAAGCATGTCACAGAACACAAAATTATGCAAACAAAAAATTAATTGAGATGATTTTCAAGTTCCCAAGTGGATTCATTTACTGACTAGGCACGTTGGTGAGTTGACTATTCTTAAGCAGTCCATAAATAGAAGGAAAGTTCCTGAAAGAGAGGAAAATGAAATATATTTGTATATATCAAGAAATTAATAATAACTATATGCTCTGTTGGGAATGGCAGGGTTTAGAGGAAGCAGGCAAGTAGAAACTTAATAGAAATAAGGATGTTTATGGAAAACAATGCAAAACAGAATCCTTAAAATTAAGGACACAAAATATTTGTGTTCAGTAAAGACAGACAAATGATTAATGATTCCACTACTATCCATTATGATATTTATGGAGCGATTTCAAAATAGCAATGCCTTGTTTTACATAAAACCTCAGATATTAACCTATGAGTTCCTAGCGGTCTACCCTGGCAGAGTCCTTGCATTCTTGTTACCCGAGAAGAGACTGAATTTTCAGACATATTTAATTTTTTTTAAAATTACCTAACCCGAAATAACCTATTTTGATGTGTTATACAAAACTAAAAACTGGCTGGTGATCAGGAAAAAAAAAACGCAAAAAAACAAAACAATCACAGTGGAGAAATGGCCATCAGGGTGGTGATGTTGACTTCTCACAGCTCTGGTCACACAAGTCCAAGGCCCTAGGTAACTGTTCAATACCACAAAGGGTGCTCAAAACAACTCAGTACATCACTGATGGCTCTGTAGGACCCAGCCACTTCCTATCTCTCCAGAAGCATCCCTGTCATTTCTCTCCCAGCACGTTATATCTAGCAACTGCTTAAATGTCCCCAAAACAGGTGACGTCATATCGTGTCTTGGTCAACACCCCCGTCTCCCACCTGTAGTAGCTTATCATGTCTTAACATTTTCTCCTCCCTTCCTGGCTTGTAAGATTTTGACTTTTGAAATTCCATTCAGGTTTTATTTCCTCCTTTGTCCTCGGACCAAGTTCATCGCTTTCTCCTCTGCACCGTCTCTGCCCTTCTGTAGCCTTTTATTACTACAGAGTGCCAGGGACACAGTGGGCGTCTTAGTGTCACCTGCATAAAGCGTCATACTGCTAGGATGAATCAGATGCAAACTGTTAAAGGAGAATACTTTAAAAAGTTAAACATCTAATATAGTAAATCTATTGATGAGGGCATTGCCTTAATTAACCAATAAATATTTCTTGAATGGCTTGTGCTGAATGCTTTGACGTTTATAAAATGTGACAGACACACTTGTGACCCTCAAGAAGCACACTAGGGATGAAGGACATTTACACAGCATCAACCCGTCAACCAGAGGGTCAGAATGAGACATCTGCCAATCCAGTCCTCTCAGTCAGGGTTCTCCTGGGGGGAGAAGAGAAGGCTCTTTTGGCTGAGGGAGAGACAAGAGATCTTGAAGGAATGGCAGGATCTGGATAACCAGAGAAGAGGAGAGGTGGGCAATGAGCCTGTGCAGGGCAGTGCTAGGGGAGATCCCGTCTGTTTCCTTAGAGAGCCTATAGGCCTCTCCTGCTACCCTGGTGTGGCCATCGTCCTTCCCGCAAAGCCGGCCCTACCACAGGCCAGCCCTTAGCAATGCACTTGCTGGTGTAAATAAGCTCCAGGAATGCGAGGAGACCGGCACGAGTCTGAGGAAGGGTTGCAGGACTTTCAGCTCTCCCCGTAAGACACAGGGGAGCATCCAGGAAGTGTCCATACTGGACCCAGCACACACTCCTCTCCTCACTAAATCACACAGGTATCCAGCCTGCCACATGCCAGGCGTCGTGTTGTGTATAAAAGACCATTTTAAATCACAGGAGCTAATCTTGTAGCTCCTGTGACCACAGGATTAGCTCCTGTGACCACAGCAGAAGCTTCTGAGGGGATGAACTTCTGCTGTGGTCACAGGAGCTAATCTTGTAGACCATAGTGAATACATATGGCATTTAGTTAGGTTTCTTTTAGAAAAGTAGATTAAGATGCACCATGACCTCTATGGGAAACATCTATAAAATCCCTGTAAGTCTATTTTAAAAATTCATTCCACAGATATTTATAAACATGGTTTCTTGCACTGCCTTTAATGAGAGCAAAATATTAGAAACTAACTACATGTCTGTCAGTAGTTGTTTGGATTATTGCTCTTTCATATAAATATTATTCAGCCAATAAAAAGAAAAAGGTAGCTTTCTAGTATAAAATAGCAGAAAATCAGCTCTAAGACATACTTCAAAGTAAAACAAGGGGAGCAAATGGCATAATGTTTTTAATGTAAAAAACAGTAATAATTTTTTAAAAAGTGCTTTACCTATCCACAGACTATCTCTGGAAAGATACATGAAAACCACTACAAACAGCTGCCTGTGGATATGTGGGGGTAAGGATGGGAATGAAGACCACTGTGTGTATATTTTATATTTTGTACCAAGCACACATATTACCGACTAAATAAAGGATTTATTTTGGTTTCCAACTTCACATTTATCATTGAAAAAATCTAATAGTTATGGAAACATCACACTTCCACTAAGAAAACAAATTAACACAAATGTTCCTCATTTTAGGATGAGGTTATGTCCTGATAAACTCATTGCAAGTTAAAAACATTAAGCTGAAAATGTATATGATACACTTAACCTACCAAACATAGCTTAGCTAAGCCTACCTTAAATGTACTCAAAACACTTACATTCACATACAGTTAGGCTGAATCATCTAACAAGGCCTGTTTTATAATAAAGTGTTGATATCTCAAGTAATTTTTGAATGCTGTACTCAAACTGAAAAACCAAATGGCTCACTGATGACTGCAAGAGTATCATACTGCCATGGCTAGTAAGAGAAAAGATACATATATTCAAAATTTGAAGTACAGTTTCTACTGAACATGTATTACATTTCCACCATTGTAAAGGGGGAAATGTTTTAAGGCAAACTATTGTAGTCAGGGACTGTCTGTACTGAAGTGTGCTCACTGTTAGTGTTTCAAGAACTACAGGTTCATTTGTTCACTCATTCATTCCTCACTGAACACCTGGTCAGTTCCCACTATGTCTGCATGCCAGGCAGTAGGCTAGAATTTGGGAGCACAAGTCAAATAAGACATGGTTCTTCTATCTTCAAGGAACTTAAAGTCCTGCAGTCAGGGAGAAAAACTCATCAACAAACAGAACAGAAATGTAGCCTCAGGATAACATCACCATCCACGCACACTTCACAATGGTACCTCTTTGTTTATTCCATCTCCTTGTTTTGACTGTCTGTTAGGTACTGGTACCTGTGTTAGGTAGCAGACACATAAATCCCGCCAGCAGCAGTTCAAATGAGATAAACGCACAAGACAGAACTTAATAACCTGCTAAGTTCTCCTTGAATGAAAGGATGACTAACTTCATCTAATAAGGACAAGCAAGACCTAGTACACTGTCCTGTACTATCAGCCACTCGGCTACCACATTCACTTTATTCACTCCTACATTCAATGACTTGTTCAATTACCACTTATTAGGCTTAAGACATGGTAATTGCACTAAAGATGTTTACAACCTGGTCGGAGGGAAAGGAGGGCAAACAAACAGACAATCTCAGGATAGCGTACTGCAGAATTCACAGAGTAAGACGAAGGTCCACAGTAGAGACTCTACACCCAGACTGGATGCGAAGACGGTGGGCCAGGGAGGGTCTCCTGGGTGAGGGGATGCTTCAAGTTTCACTTAGAAGTGCTGACAGGCCAGCAACAACTAGCTAGACCAAGAGCTGGGTGAGAGTTGTGCCCACTCAGCTGTGTTCATTTATTTGAGTAGGGTAAGGAACTGTGACTTCAGGCAGAGAATGGCACTGCTAGAAAAGCTCTAGATGGTTTTCAATCTATCAGGGCTGGACCACAGCCGGGTGGGGTCAGAGCATGCTGTGCTCCAGGCAGCTGACGAGGCCAGCGGCAGAATCACGCAGGGCTTGATGTTCAGAGCCAAGGAGGTTGAGCTTTATCCTGAAAGTCACTGAAGGACTCATCACATTAAAGATCTGAAAAACGACTTCAGCAATGGGAGCTAAGAGCTGAAATACATAACTGAGATTCCTGAAAAAGGAATTTCAGAATCAACTTCAACTGGACAGAATTTTCCATTGATACAGAAGGGTGAAATTCAGATTGAAAAATGATCTGCAGCCTTTCCCAATCAGAAATCAAAACAGAATCAGGCATAAAATAGATTGTTATTTTAAAATAATGATTTTTTTTCCTTTCTATCCCTATGAAACACTGAATATCAATATAAATAGTAGACATTATTTGCACAGAAAACAATATACTTTATTCTTTAGATGTCACATATATTCTATAAAATGTTTTATATTTTCATTTAACTTTTGATTCTACAATTTTATTTTTTCTTCAAATCATTAGTTTTAAATTCTGGAACCTGTCTCTGTAAACAGTGACCAGAGTCTTTAACTCTGAGTTAAAACAAGGGAGCCTGACTATGTAAACTGTGGTACTGTTAACATGATTTGTGTGGGTTTTTTGGGGTCTTGGTTAACCGTTCCTAACACTGCCTGTTAGGAATCCTCTTGATCACACTGACAATCCTATTCACTTGCTAAATAAACCCTTACATAGTCAAATAACTATGTAAAGAGATGGGGGACAAGAGGATGAGAAAGTTAGAGTGCCTATTTTTTAAGGCACTGATTGTCTGGTTATAAAATCACTAACCAGTGAAAACAGAAGTTTGTAGAGTTCTTTTTGGAACAGACTAAACGAGGGACTATATCTGCCCAAGGGAATGCAGTAGGTCAAACTTAAAGGCAGAGGATACCATACTTGAAAATGGCTGCACTGAATTTGAGCTTCTTAGCAGACCCTGCAAGACCCTTCATTACACGTCCCTCATCCTACGCAGCCAGCATCGTCCGTTTCTTTCTCTAATTATCTAATATAACTGAAGTTTCCTAAATGATGTTTCCTTATAACTGCAAAAATTTACATATAGAAACTAATGAGTGAACATCTTTATTTGTGCCAGGCATGCTTCTAATCTTCACAGCAATACTAAGGTAGGCAACATGTCTGTCTCTTTTATTAGTGGGGAACCTGCAGTTTAGACTCTTGTTATGAGAGGCTAAGCCACGGACTCAAGGTCACAAAACGGGTGAAGGGCAGAGCAGAAATATGGATGCTCCGAGAGGACCTGCCCTGTGTGGCTATCTTCTCCTGGTCTTAATATCTCCACGGGCCTCTTCTGCTACCTCTGACCACCCTGCCTGGGTTACACATCCCCCTTCCACGGTCCTAGAAAACACATGTATCTCTGTCCGAGCTCTACAGGCTTTGTCTTTGCCCATTTCCCCAGCAGACTGTGGCACTTGCAAGGACAGCAATGATGTCTTTAATCATTGTCCTCCTACTGTCTGCAGCACAGCCGGTGTTCAGGAAATATATCTGAGTAAACACTGATACAGATTTGACTTGGAATACCTGAGTACAAGAAGATTCAGAACCTAAACAAGCCAAAGACTCTCTCCATGAAGGAATCTGGGGCAAGGTGGGGTAGAGAAAGACAAGAGGGCAGTTATTCACAATGCTAAGCTTGGTGTGAGATACTCTCTGTGATACAAAGTAACAAAAATTAAAGGCTCCTGCTCTTAAAGAGCCTTTAATCCAATGGAGAAGCCACTATAATATTGAGAATGACAGTATAACAAAATGGTTAACATCGAAGGCTCTGGATTAAAGTCAATAGGTTCAAATCTGGGCTTTACTAAGTATAAGGTACATGAGCAACATAAGTGTGAAATTCACCTCCTGAAACTTAAATTTCTTCCTTTTTAAAATGTAGATGATACCTTCTTATGGCTGTGAGGATTCAATAAAATAATTTACAGAAAATTATAAGCACATGCTTAGCTATTACGGCAACTTACAAGCAATATAAGTCATAGGATACCAATACTAAAAAGAAGAAACAGAAACCAAGCATGCTTTTTAGAGACGGTGGAGGAATCACAGCCTGATTTAACCGGTGAGGACATCATGGAAGACAGGGCATGAGGCTGAGTTCTGAAGGACAAATATGTTTTCCTCATGTGAAGATACAGGGGACAGCAAGTTGTTTGTTATGGGCCTGTCACCTCCATTTGGTTTTGCAGTACTTGAATACAGGGTTCCATGTGTTATCAACCTTTGTATGACCAGTGCCTCTTTTGTGTCCATTATGGAGCTCATGTTCCATGGATGCTGTCATATGAGAAGATAAATGAATTCCAAGGGGAGAAAACAAAAGTTAAGAGGAAGAGATTAGGGAACAACGCAATATGCCCTTAGAGACAGGAAAAGACGGGCTTATCTACAGCAGGGCCTTCCCATGGAAATAGAAAATAATACGGTTTGCTGGAGTATCAGCCAGATAAGAGAAGATCTTGAAGGACAAGTAGGAAAGTGCCTGTCCAATAGTGTTCTGGACCTTTCTGGGTCACAATCCCTTTTTACAGTCTGATAAAGCTATGAGTGCTTTGAAAAAATGAGAATAAACATAAAACTGTATGGTATTTTCTATTAACTCTGAAGAGCACCTGAGGATGGACCCTCTACCTATCCATAATTCTTAACTTATTATTCTGTAAGCCAACTCCTTAAAAATCCATTTAATAAAGAAAAACAACCGTGAAAAATTTCAATAATATTACATACTACAGAGATGTGGTGAACGTCACATTCCCTTTCCGTACTAGAGAAAAACAAACAACAAAAATCCAAAAAGACAAACAAAAAGAAAATACAATAAACTTACTTTGTCTACAAAAATGATGAGAATTATCTTCTTTCTAAAGGTAATTTAATTATTTCAGGCTAATTTTGGCTATTAAGAAAAAAACAAGCTCATATATTTTTCATATATATTAAACATGTGAATACAACTTTGACAATTAAACTTTACATGACTGGATCACTTTCAGGTTGCAAAACACTCTGACAATATTACCTTAATTCTTCTAACAAATGCATGAGATAAGCATCATTTTCACTGAACTGATGGAGAAACGGAGACTTGCCCAAAGTCACACAGTTAAGTGGCAGAGCTCAAATACAAATACTGAAAAAATAATACTCTCTGGAAGATTAGAGCCAACGTAGTATTTTTTTATGCTTTAGAAAAAAAACAAGAAAATGTGAACAGAGAGATGAAAATAATATCTTTCCTTTATAGGTCCCCAGATTTTTATATTTTAAGAAGTAATTTTTATAAAGTACATTTTATAATACTTATAATTTGTTGCATAAAATTGAGAAGCACAGAAAATCATGCTTCCATAAGACTAAGATAAACACTGTCAAAAATTTCCAGCCGATCTGTGTAATTTTTTTGCCCATACACACAGAAAACTAAAATTGGGATCATATTATATATTAAGTTTGGCAAACTGCTCTCTTTCCTAAATAATCTGGAAAATGTTTTTCACGCTATTGAAAGTAATCTGAATATTTAAATATCAGGATGACCTGAGCCTCCAATCTCTGCCGCTTAAAATGAAGCTTCCTGGGTTGGACTTGATTCAGGAATCTTCTTTTCTGGCTTTTGTAGTTAATTTGACCTAATCACCAGTAATAGGAAATCAGCAGGGGAGATTTTCCATGTGACTTTAGATAAGCATGAAATTGTCTTCATCTTCCATAGCAGGTCAGAATCACTGGAACCAAGAGGCAAACTTACCTTTGTTTCCTTCAGGTGTGCAACCAGTTCCTTCGACATTCCAAGATGACTGTCATTTCCTAACAAAAGAAAAGACCTTTTTACTCAAAATAAAGAGAAAAACATCCCCCAAGAAGTAAAAATTAAACATTTTACATAATCTACAATTAAAAAAGCTTAATGATTAAAGAATAACTTTATTAAATATTTGTCAGTTTTAAGAAGTGCCCTGAATTACTAACCAAATAATGTATTACAAATTACTAGTTATGAGGTTTTACAGTTGTTTAATAGGGAATAATTGGCCCCAATTAAACTGACTGACTAAGGCTTTTTAGATTACTAAAACAAATTAAACTTTTTAAAATGAGAATTTAGGTGATCTTAAAACTTTTCTAAAATGGATAATGAAACTTGCTAAGTTGTAATCGCTCTGGTTTTATTAGTTATATTAAGATAAATTAAGTGAGATTAAAATCTTATTTGATTTATTTACCTTTGAAAATGAAGACCGTTTAAGGGTTACACATCCTCAGCCTTGGCGAGTGCGACCTCAATTAGTCAAGCCAGAAAGTCTTTAAAAGCTTTGTGCTTAGTGCTTCCAGCATGGAGCGAGGTGTTCATTAAGGTACCAAAATTCTCATAAAAAATCCAAAGTTGCACTAGTGAAAAAACGCTCAACAAGATGAAAACTGATCACATCTTTTTCAGAAAATCCAGTAGTTATTTTAAAACCAGTTTTTAACAAGATTTGGTTTTGCGTAGTTTAACGTGCCACTCAAGCAGCTCAATACCATTTGGACTCTTTAAACAGCATTTAAATCTATGGTGAGTATATAATGGTACATTTAATTTTATACCATTTTTAAAATAAATTGTACAATGTTTAGTGTGACCCTTTTATGACAAGCATTGTTAAATGAATTCTTTCCCTGTTTACAACTATTTATGAAGGCCTTTTTAAATAAAAAAAAAAAAACATGAAATTGTTAGCTCACACACACAAAATTTCTTTCAAAAGTTTATTTAGTATCAAGCAAGAGAAGACTTTGCTTAACACTACAGAACATTTCAAGACTTGAGTTACAAAAGAATACCACATTATTTGCACTTGTAATTGGTTTCCCTTTTTACGCATGTTGGCAAGAGAAAAAAAAAAAACTAGCATATGGCTGAAAGATAAAATAACTAAATTCTATGGAAACCTTTAAAATGAAAGGTGAGGCTTATATTAAAGAATAGATTAACATATTTAGTAAACCTATTTTTTGTTTAACACTAGTTAATCAAAGTTATTTTTTTCCCTTTTGATGACCTATTTTTTCATATACAGACTGGAAATAACAAAATTTTACATGTCCTTTTTTTTTTGTTTCTGCCCAAGTTGATGTTTCAACAAAGTAGTTTTAAGTTCCATCCATTCAGATTTTAAACATTTTGATTTATTTAAAAAGGGATTGTTCATAGAAAAAAATTACTTTGAACAGTATACAGGACTGGTGGAGATTGGCTATTTCACAACATCAGACAGTACAATCAGTATCTGCCATATGGCTGGTCTCTGTAGACGCCCTTTGCTGTCCTCGCTGAAGGTGCCTTGTGTCTTGAGTTAGTCCACTCTTCTTGCCCTAAAATCAGTAAGATGAATCACAATTAGATCACTGCCATGAATCCCACAGGCTTCATTTTTCAGAATCTGACTTAGCCCTGAACCAAAGGTAGATGTCATATTGAAAATACATATCCCTGGTGTACTGAAAAGAAAAACAAACAAGGAATTTACTTAAAAAATTACAAGGAAAAATAATCATCTCACTCAATTTGTCAGCATGGGAAGAAAAATGGTTTTTGTATCTGAAATGGCAACCAACTTTGCAAGGACTTTCCTTTTGGTTACTCATTTAACAATAGCTCACAAGCTCAGGTAGCAAAGAGAACTGCCTTTTGCTAAACATCAGGACATTTATGAGTGGAAAAGAGAATGAGAAAAGGATCACTCAGACTTCTTCCCAGAGCAAAAACAAAGAAAAAACACAAACATTTGTGAAGACGAAGGAGAAGAAACCTGGAGAGCAAAACGGAAAGGGTCAGACTGAGAAAGGGAAACACGACCTCACTTTTCACAGGTGTTTTCAGGAAAAGACTGAAAGGAAGTTGCATTGGGTTGAACTTCACTTCTCAATGACACTTCATGAATATGAAATAAACTTAATGACATCACGTCAGATTTCATTCATCATAATGCTAAATCCGTACTGGACAATGGTATTAATAACAAAGGACATTCTATCATCTTTATCTCCTGAAATTAAACAGCTGTTCAGCCTGAAGATAACTTTGAATGAGCTATCTACAAGTCTTTGACATCAAACAGTTAACATCCCTGCTGCAACACACAGCAATTTAAAAGCCATGTGTCCACAGAGACCAATTTAAAAAGCTGTGAAGGAAAAATGCTTAAAATGACCTCTTCTTTTGATACAAAACATGCAATCAGCGTCATTCCCTCAAGCTAACTTTCAACAATTTAGGTACCCTGCATTCAGCAAACCAACATATTTCTCTTAAGTGTTTCTTAAAAAAAAAAAAAAAAAAAAAAAAATCCAAGGTGCTGCCAACACAGCTTTGGGCAGGTGATACAACAAAATGCACTTCAAAAGGTTTAACATGGGAAAACGGTTTTTCAGTTCTGTTAAGAGAAATGTCCTAACATCCATTAAACACAATCCTGATTCACTTGCACTGGGTACCAGGGATTCATCAGAGCTTTGCCACTGATTGAAGCTTCATGTTTTCTGATCTCCTTGCCCTGCGGCAAAAGCTCTTCTTACTACCATTATGTTGCTGCTGCCGATTATTTTATTTAAACCTGTCATCCTTGTGCATAGTGAGACTTTGGACACGAAGTCCCCAGCATCTCTACCAGCTCCACTGAATTAAGAGGGGTTTAGTTGCCGCCGTGTAAAGCTTACAGACCCTGTATCTCCCTCCTTGGCTCAGTACTTTTGTAACCTTTATAAAATGACTTTCAGTGTAATATTTTTCAGAGGGCTTGAGATTAGAAATGAATTAAAATATAAAGATGAAAGTGGGAGAACCACTCTTTACTGTCATGAAACAAAGACACTTCAAAAAGATCCAGCTATTAAGTGTCTGCAGTTTGAAAAACTATTCTGTGAGAAATTCAGCACACGGCAATCAACCCAAACATAAAATTTAAGTTCAGAATCTGGATTCATGCAATCTTCGGCAAGTCTTCAGTCCTCTTTAAATACAGAAATAATAAAGGAGCCTCTAAAAATAGCTAGATATGCACAAATGAATTGGCAGGAAGCCGCTGTTTCAGAGTCCAAATGTCCTTATAAATTTCTTTTCCCATTAAGAACCTTGAGGTTCTCTATGACCATCTCTCCTCCCTCTCTTCACACGCTCTGGCCAGTCACTCACCGTAGGAATCATAAGTCTCCTCACTGAGTCCATGTCCATAATCATAGTAATCAGCACCACTGCAGTGAACAAAACAAAACACAGGACAGAATGATCTGGCTGTGAGTTTCAACAGTATTCAATGAAGTCTTGTAAAACTTAAAGACAACTAATAAAGGGCAGGAATGAAAATTCAAAGAAATTCCCACTGAGATCACAGGGTTCTAGAGCAGAAGCGTAACTTTAGGATCATCAGAGGCCCCTTGTCTAACTCCCTAATTTTAATACATAATACATTTTGACATTTTAACCACAACAATTGGCCGCTCAAGACACTGTAAGTGCCTAAAAGTGCATGGGGGAATACCGAGACAGCACCTGACCTGGGAAGACTGGGAGTGTGTGGAGAAGGGGGATGTGCGTGGACAATTCCAGCCCAGTGTGCCAAGAGCTAGGGCCAGGCCTGTGAGAGGCACCGTGGGAGTGGGGAGGAGGTAAACGCCACTCTTGCTTTCCAATAGATGGAATGTTTACAGAAGGCAAAGATTTTATTTCTTCTTAAACCCTCATCTACCAGAGAACTTGGTGCTACATGAATTGTGGGCACTTACTTTATAATACATTAAAAACAAATGCCCGGATGAAATGTTTTCTTTCATCAGCACTGCTGCATCACCATCAGAAGGCTGCCGGGAAAAGGCGACTCAGCAGCCATGGCTGCATGGGACAGGAGAGCAGGGAAATGGATAGCTGCAATCTAGTCACAAGTCTGGTTACACGAGGCCAAGGATCTTTTCAAAGTACAGGCATATCCATGTTCTAATGTACGTCTTTGAGATAGCACCAGGAAAGAGTCATCACTGACAGCAAGAGGGAATAGTTATCACTGACATTCTGCAGATGATGCAAAACAGCCTACATATATACAATATATTTGGACTAGGAATAATTTTTTTACAGGAATAGACTTGTGAAAAGTCTAGATTACTAAGCCATAACCATTCTGAGTATTTGAGAAAGAGCCTCCATGTACCCTCTCAGGTCTTCCTGTTTCCCACTCAATTTTGCAGGGAAACAACCATCCTGAATTTGTTACCTTAGACTGTCATGGAAATAAATATACACATTCTTCCAATTTCATACAACCAAGAAGTTTCTAATCAAAATGGAAAATGAGCCAGCTGAGATGTTTAACACCCCAGGAAGTCACAGTTTGAAGAGCACAAATCCATGCTGTGAACGCCTACTGAACACCAGCCACTGAGATCCCACATCATCCCCAGCCTCAGATAGTAAAACTGCTGTACCCATTTGACAGATAAGGATACTGCAGACCAGCAGAGCTAAGAAGCCAGCCTAAATTGCATGGAGAATGGTATAGCTGAATCTCTTTGACTACACAGGCTCCACTTGTGGGCCACACCCAGACTGGGTTTTCCCCCATGTTTTCTTTCGCAGGAAAATGACACCAGAGACTAATCATCACATTCAATGACTACAGCACAGCAAGGCAATTCCTATGAGAAAAGTGTAAGCAATGGAGCTATATTCCTTTTTATCTCAAACATGTGGGCATGAATTTTTACATCTGCTGCTATTTCTGCCAGAAGGCCCTTCTCTCCTTTCCTCCAGGTTATTTTCAACTCAAGCCCCGCGCCTAAATGCCACTTCCATAGGGAACCTTGCAGTTCTCCCTTAGTGAGGTCGGTTTCCCATGGCAGTATGCCCTGGTTCTCACCCTTCTGGCCTGGAGGAGACCCTCACATTACATTTGTTGAGTAGGTATATGGAAAAGGGGCGCCTCTATCACTCTAGTGTGTGGAATGGCTTCTTGGAGCACGCAGTGCTTGCACAGTGTTCTGAAGGACCAGGAGGGTGAAGGTGAAGACAGGTGGAGAAGAAATGGACAGAGGCAATGGCAGCAAGGGTCTTCCAGGCAGAAGAAACAGTATGTGCAAAGCAGAGGCAGAAAACAGGCTGAAAAATCTGGGTGTCTACAGGCAGTTCAATCAAATTCAGTCAAATACAGTAAGTACTGATGAAAACTGTCTGGACCAAAATATTCCTTGGAATAAAATACTTCTTCCACATGTAGGACATAGGCCCCACCTTGTTATCCTGGTTTAATCATATCCTTACAAGTTAATTAAATACAGTGTAACACTGTGGCTAAGATTTGAGCTCTCTGTATAACATAAGCTCTCTGAAATGTGCTGTGTTAAGCTCTGTTGGCTTAACCCAATACAGAATAGTCACTACTACAGCTGACCTAATACACCAAGTAGCAATGTGCAATTTTTCCACAGAGGTACATGTAGCTATAGAGTTTTGATAAATGGTCTTGAATTGAGGGCTAACATTCCTAAAAAAATTACAATAAAAAGGAGTGTGAGAGGAATGTAACTATTGTGAGCTACACCACTGCCCTACTGACAACTTCTCACATGCATGAGCTCACCTAATCTAAAAAAATCTCTATGCTTTTATAGACGAGGCAGCTGAGGCCTGAGCTGAGCCATCTGCCCAGGGTAACACAACTTATAAGTGGCAGCACCTACACTCAAAGCTCAGAACACTACCACTGCCATGTGCTGAACACAAACGCTAGAGGTGGCTTTTGCCCACCACTGCTGGCCACCTTATGTGACTGGTTCACACTTTTCTCTGAACTGCCCTTTTGCTCTTCCAGAATTTCTCGTTTGCTCTCCCTGGGGCTTCAGTGATCCCTCCTCATGCTCAGGCACAGAAGTCAGGCCCACATGAAACATACTGCCCCATGATCATAGTGATGTGTGACTGCCTTAGTCTCTTTCTGGCTTCAAATTCCTCCTCTTCCTTTCTGTAGTCCTAATTTTCCCTCAGGGCATAATATATAGTTATGGTGAGAAGAAGAGAGACTAACTGAAAAGAGAGCAGATAAATTTTCCTATTCTAAAAGATAATGAAACCAGCAGAAACTAACAAAAGAAAAAAATATGGCTTTCCTGCTTTTTAAGATATTATAGCTTTAAATATGAGAATGCTATTAAAGTACTAATAGAATATTTCTTATCTTGAGAACTGAAATGCAGACTCAAAGCTTTTGACAAAAAATGTCTGTCAAATATCAGTTAAGACCTGGGCCTTCACCAGCAGTGCCACCTTGGGAGTATGACTTCCATGAGTGGGTCTTCCTGTTCATCTGCCAAATCAGATGCTGGTCTAGACGCTGCTCAGGTCTCCAGGCAGCTCTAGCATCCTCCATGGCTCTTTCACAGCATCTGGGCTCACAGCAGTCAACATAATTTCTCATTTTGTTGAAAATAAATTGGCAAATCCTTCTTGGAAACTCAGTACTAAATTAAATGAACCTCAGCCTTCTTTCCAAGGGTCAGAAGTTACAACATAATGGCTCCTTAGACAAATACAACCTTGATGTTCTTGAGAATTTTCTTTGTTGCACAGAGATAAATGAGTGACCTCACTATAAAACTAAAAGGGATTTCCTTGGCTGAGACAGTTCCCATTGTTTAACTTGGAACTGTAAATGACAGGTCCTGCGACTAATAAGCAGAAGAGCTAACAACTCCTTTCTGATGAAACTGAGTCTCCTTTATCAAATGAAGTGAGCAGTAATGAACAGGAGCACAGACTGGAAATTTACTGTGAGGCGCTATGACATAGTTCAGCATAGTAAAAAGGAGGGTAAAGAATGTTTTTCAATGCACAGGAAGATAAACGGTAGCATGATTAGGTCCAGCGATGGTTTGGTGATAAGACAATCTTAGTGTTGACAAGGGAAAACTTTAAACTGACATTTGCTATCATTTCACCCGGTTTCTGATTATTTATTGCAAGACTGTCATCAAGCCGAGGAGCTGGGAGCAGCTGGGCCCCGTTCTCATACCTGTCAGTTCCATCTGAATTGCTTTCACAGCATTTCATTTCGTGTACCTCAAATGTCTATTAACCAAAGACGTGTCCTATTTCCCAAGGATAAGCTAAAAACCCAACATATGGCAAAGGGAAAAACACTAAAAATCTCTTCATTTATGGATACAACTTTTAATATTGATAACAAGCAAGAAAACACATTAGGCCAAATACTTCTCAACTCCATCAAAGGGATGCAAGGGAAGCCCATCCCTCAACTGATCAAGGTGGAGGGGGGCTTCCCACCCTGGCACCAGGACCATGTCTCCACCCTCCCTCCATGACCCACCCCATTACAAAGGGTCAAAGGAAGCCGGTGTGCTCAGCATCATTCCTGGATTTCTCAGCGGTTTTCATCAATTCTATCAACTTGCTCTCAAGAAGCTAGTTAGAGAAGACAAAGACGTTTCAGTAGAACAAAATATGCATAGGCACATAGATGTATGTCCAAAATACCCTGGGATCAGAGTCTAATTTTGTTGAGGGGTGGGAGAAAGGTATAAAGCAAGAGGCTGTTCAACAAAGGTGGCACATGAGTGGCTGAAGGATTGAAAGAGGAGGAAATGAGACCGGGAGTAAGGGGTTGGACTGCAAAGTATTTAGTAATCTCTTAAAGAAGGGAGTTATTAATTCACCTAGCACGGTTGTCCCTTGGAATCCATGGGGGATGCTTCCAGGACTTCCTGTGGGTGCCAAAATCCACAAATGCTCAACTCCCTGATATAAAACAGTATAGTGTTTGTATATGACATATGTACATCCTCCTGTATACTTTAAGGCATCTCTAGTTACTTATAATATGTAATACAATGTAAGTGCTATGTAAATCATTGTTACACTATATTGTTTGGGGGAATACTGACCAAAAAAAAGTCTGTATACATTCAGCACAGATGCAATTTTTTTTTCTGAATATTTTCGATCTGCAAGTGGTTGAATCCACAGATGTGGAACCCACGGATACAGAGGGCTGACTATATACAAGATACTGTTAGCTAATATATAATTATATGTATATATATTTTAAGAGCTATAAACATAATTAAATTCAATATTTTAAAATATATCTCATTTAACCTCATCAAAACTCTGTAAAGTACATATTATTCTGTCTCCTTATATACAAGAAAACTAAACCGTCAGAAGTTAACTGAACTATCCAAGGATG